GATGGAGAGTCTGAAGAAAGCAGTATGCCGGCCGGCTCCCCGGTAAGAGAAATACAGAGATCAGCAGAAATGGGTTAATAATTAAGGCAGAGCTAGCCGGGCCAACAGCATTGTATCAAATACAGAGTCTCTGTGTATTATTTGGGGCTGGCGCATCGGCAGGACAAGACCAGGCAGCGGGAGGAAAAACTGTACACCTTACACTGTCATGTTGCTAAAGCTAGACTTGAGCATTATTCCAGACAGAAGATCCTTCCCTTTAATGTACAGTCAGTGCTATCTATCCACCTCCTTCTTCACCTCATTATGTCATTTGCTTAGTCCTTTGGAAAATCCCCTAGTTTAGACCCTATCATCTCTGTTTCATAGGGCCACCAGGAACCTCCCTACTATAACATAAGGAATCATAGGAACTATAGCGTTCTCTGGAGAGACCATGGGAGACTATCTCAATGGCCATGTTGGTGATGTTTTAGAAATAACACCAGAAGCACAACCCAGTGAAGGATACAATCAGTAAGCTGGACTCTGTTAAAATTAAACACTTCTGATCTGGGAAAGACACTGCTGAGGCCTTGGAAAGACAAGCCACTGACAGTGGAGGATGCTTGCCAGAGACACATCTGATAAATGACTGCTGTGCAAGATCTGCAAGATAATTGCTCAAACTCAGCAATACAGAGTGAACAATTTAAAACGGCCCAAAGATGTTAACAGACACCTCACCAAAGACACACAGGTGGCGAACAAGTATATAAAATCATAAGTCATTGGGAATAGGAAAATTAAAATGACATACCACCACTTACCTGTTAGAATGGCCAAAGCCCGGAACACACAGCACCAAACACTACTGTAAAAGTAGACAGTAGGAGCTCTAGTTCTGAGAGCTGAACGGAGCACATGATGGTGCAGTCATATTAGAAGACAGTTTGGCATTTTCTTGAAAAAACTAAACATAATCTTAACCACATGGCCCGGCAATTGCCCTCCTCGGTGTTTACCAAAAGGTGTTGAAACTTATGTCCATACAAAAACCCACACACAAATGTTTACAGCAGCTTTGTTCATAATTGGCGAAACTTGGAAGTAACCAAGGAGCCTTCCCAAAGATGAAGGAATAAACAGTACTACACCCAGAAAGAGGGAGATTATTCAGTGCTAAAACAAAATGAGCTATCAAGCTGCAACAAAAATAAGGGGGCAGGGTGGGGGAAAGACTAGAAAAAAATTAAATGCAGATTACCAAGGAAAATAAGCCAATCTTAAAAGGCTACATTATGTATGATTCCAACTTTATGACACTCTAGAAGTTAAAACCATGAAGGCAAAAATTTGCATATTACCAATGACATATGATTTCAGTTTGCATATTCCCAATGACATATGACATCATATACTTGTTGTCAGGAAAGATAGATAAACAGGCAGAGCACAGAGGATTTGAGAGCACTGGAACTATTCTGTGTGACTATGATAGCAAATACATGTCATGTGATTATCCAAACCCATGCAATGTACAACAGAGAACCCTAACAAAAACTATGGTCATACCACTGTGATTAGGGATGTCTATAATGTGACAAGTTAATCATATGTATGGACAGGGGTGTAGGGAAATCTTCTAACCAACTTGATATAACCCTAAATTTGTTCTATAAAGAGTCTATTAAAAGCATTTCAGGGGGGGAGGAGCTGGGAAGATGGCTCCATGGATGATTGCTGCACACATGGGTGGACTAGAGTTTGGACCCTCAGCACCTAGGAACATGTCAGGCAGGGAGAGCAGCCCACATCTAAGCTCAGCACTCTGTAGGCACTCACAGGGGTCCCCAAAGAAGCTGCCTAGCTGGACTAACTGCATGGGTTCACTCTATGTTCAGGCCAGAGACCGCTGCCAATTATAAGGTGGAAAGCAGTCAAGGAACACACCCACTATCAACCTCTGTGTTCAACATGCACATATCTGCACATGTATGTACATACATGTGCACCCACATGCATATATGCACATCCATATACACACATGTGTACCCACATGCATATGCACATCCATGTATACACATGTGCACTCACATGTTTATACACATGCACCTGTACACATATGTATACCCACATGCATATGCACATGCACCTGTATATATATTTTCACCCACATGCATATGCATGTGCAGACACCACACACATACACAGCATTGCAGGAAACAGGGATATGACTCAGTAAGCGAAGAACTTACTGAGTCCAAAGCAAAGTCCAAAGTAAGAGAGTCCAAATTAACTCCAGAACCCATGTAAGAAGCCAAGTATGGCACACACCAACCCCACAGACAAGGCAGAGGCAGGGGAATCTCTGAAGATCCAAAGGGTGTGGGGCAGGGTGTCAAACAGAGGTACTATACAAACCACTGCAGTACAGCACTAACAGCTCTGGTGGCAGACCTAGTTCTGTTGGAGTAAAAAAGCACACTTTTACTTTTAACGTTCTGGTTCTGAATGACCCAAATCTTGCCAGCCCTAAAATACGGTACTGGTGCTGCTGCATGCCTATTCTATTTAGGATGTTTCCTATTGCTCCTTCATTCTTCTTCCCCAGAAAAACTCCTCATTCATATTCAATTGAAGCGGAAGCATCAACACTCATCTGAAGCTGTCTTCAACTCTCCCAGGTGCTGCCTCCTTCCCCACACTTCCATTCTAGCATGATGTCATCCAGACATAATTGTTTGCAGGTCTGCCTCCTCAAGAGCAAGGGCTGCATTTCTTCATCACTTGGAATACACTACCTCATGTGTATTAGGATGGAGGGGGCCTGAGTGATTGCTAACTGCGTGTCTGCCTTGCGCAGTGTGCAGTGCGGCACTGTCGTAGAGAGGCACACAAAGAGATACTACCCAATAGGTGAGGAACTGAATAATCTTTGATGTGCAGACATCTTGCCTGTCTTTTGAAATCGGGCCCAAGGCCTGCCTCTTTCATGAGGCTTTTCTTAATACCTTCAGTCTCCATCTGTGCTACAAATGGTAGCATCCTGAATGGTACTCTATCATACATTTTCCCTACATTCCGAATGCTTGTTTTCCCAATAACGCAGAAAGTTCCTTGAGGAGAGGGGATGTGCTACATCTCCTTGAGGCTAGAATGCTTGTGAGATATCTCCCCAGAACAGCAACAGGCACCCTGAGTCCCCTCATGAGGCCAGCCCTACTCTAGATGACTATGTTAGAAGCATTAAATTGCAGCTTTAAGGCTACAAGTAAAGGGTGATTTGTGAAAGTCTTGAGCTATGCTCAAGCCATGAAAGTCTAGTGTTCATAAGTATGGTGTTTTCCCAACATCCATCATTAATATCTTTCCACACTAGTTTAACATGAATTCTTCCTAAGAAAACCTAAAAACTAAATAAACCAGTTCTAGGTGTGGTAGTGTAGACCTATAATCCAAGCACTCATGAGGTCCATGAGTTCAAAGACAGTCTGAGCTACATAGTGAGACCCCCATCTCAAAGAGTAGAACAAAAACCCACAGACCAGAACAACTAGGGATCATAACCCTACCTTTTACTTCTTTTTCTTTGCTGCTTACACACATGTATCCTATCTGTCCCCATGCTTGTTCCTGCTCTGAAAGCTCAGTCGTCGCTTACTCTCAGCTCTTCGGTGGGTTATTTTAAGACAGAGGAAGTGGGGCTGTGGTGGCACACTCCTTTAACCCCAGCACTCAGGAGGCAGGGGTAGGCCAATCTCTGAGTTTGAGGCCAGCCTGGTCTGCAGAGCAATTCCAGAGCAGCCAGGGAGAAACCCTGTCTCCAAAAACCAAAGCAGGGAGGAGGGAAGGGAAAGAAAAAAAGAAAAAGAAGAGGAGAGAGAAATAATGGAGGTGGGAAGGGGTCGTGTTATGGGGGACACAAAGGCAGCTGGAGGAAAATGGGGTTTTATGAGTGTGCATGTGAGCATCTTAGAGAAAAATAACCTCGATACTCCTATTCCATGTGTTGCTGAAATAAAGTTTCTCGGGACAGGTGCTAGAAGGCTTTGTGCAATGACTGGATATCAGAAGTAGTTTATTCTGCCTGCCTGTGTATACATGCTCTGAGGCATCCCTCCCCATCATACCCCACCAGTAGCACATGCATGTAGACACACACCCTGCCCAAAATGGATGACAGAGATGCACAGGAAACTAAGACTCCTGCAAAGAAGGAAATGGTTTCGGGTTCCTTTTAAAAGTCACAGCTAAGGGGGCATCAAGATGGCATGTGAGAAAAGGCTCTTGCCACCAAGCCTTATTAACTGGAGTCCAATCCCCAGAAGCCAGGGGCAAAGGAAGAAAATGGACTCCTGCAAAACATCCCCTGACCTTTATACGTGCAGCAGGGCATATACAGACACACAGGAACACATGTACACAGGGAAAATGTATTTTTTTTTTTAAAGAAAAAGTTTAAACAGTGCTAAGAGGAGAGAGCCTCTGGCAATACAGTGATTAAATGTAATATAGCACCTGAGGTATGATCCTGGGGACAGAAAGTACATTACATAAAAATATGAATAAGGTGTGAATTGTAGTTAACAGTCATAAACCAATATCGGTTCATTAATCGTAAGAAATGTACCTTCCTAAAATAAGAGCAACCTAGACACAGGGTATCTGGGAACTCACTATACCATTGGCTCAGTTCCTCTGTAATTCTAAATCTGTCCTAAAAAGTAATGTCGATCTGGCAAAGAAGAGAAACTGCCCGATAGAACATCCCTGGCAATGGAAATTGGAAGGAGTTGACTTGACAGTGACCCTTTTTGAAAGAAGTGACTGTTGTCAAGCACAATGTCTGCAGCTTGATCATTGGTGCCTGTAGGATGCTGAGTGCTTGCTCGCTTTCCCCAGGTTGAATTTTTGGCAGGCGGCTGCAGCATTTGTGCACTGATTATAATTTTGAGATGCATTGTCAGTAACTGGGGTGTATAATGGACCTTCAACTCTAATTACTTTTCTCTCCACAGGTGTCTGGAAAGGGTCCAGATGGAAGCACACACAACCTCCGCTTTGAAGGGATGGAGCGGCAGTACGCATCCTTACCCAGGTAGGGTACAGAGGGGTCACCTATCCCCAGCTCACCCACAAATGAAACTGTTAGAGATATCTGTGTGAGCTAGAAATTTGGCTTTGAGATGGGGAATATGTTAGAGTTTTGCCTTACTGCCTTCTGCTGGGGCCCTGCTGCCATCTTCACAACTGTGCTAATAATTGAAACACTTGAGGGTTATTCTTTAAGGGAAGAAAATAGTATATCACTGCAATTGAACATGTCAGCACGAATATTGGATACTGAATGGAAATCCTAAGCCATTGCTATAAAAATGGTATTGAACATCCTGCACCAAGCTTAGAGACAATAAAATGGTGAATCCTGTGTCCTAGAAGTTCCCTGAGAGAAAGGGCAGGCTGGCCTTAACCTTGGAGCTTCAGGTGCATGTTAAAAAGAGGGAGAGAAACATGAGCCTGGAAGGCGTTTTTAGAATCTGACTCTGTCCTTGAGGCAGTGAGCAAATATTGCTAAAAGGCCCAGACAAGTCAGAGAATAGAAAGGACTTCATGGGAAAAGTTCGCTTGGCCAAGCTGACCTAACTTGATCCCCACATGCTGTAATGAGACACCCCTGAAAATAAGATACAGTTCACAAAGTTTGTGGCTGTTATCTGAGAGGTGTAGAGTCCAGTCTTGCTAGTCTACAATCAGGAGTGTGCAACAAAGAGGAGACCTTTCCAAGATGACTCACAGCCACCTTGCATGGGAGTCCGATAAGTTGAGAGTGTGAGAATTAGTGAGTTCAGAAGGGAACACAGAAAGGGGAATGCCAGCCAGCAGCCTGGAGTAACTGAGTGTCACCTTAGAAAGGGCAGGCACAGCTTCATTGTCACCAGAGCTGCGGAGCTGTGGAGATGCGGTTGCTGTTGAGTGACATGTGGGCCCCACTTCTGTGGGTGAAGCGACAAAAATAATATCCTGAATTTGATATCAACCACAGCCTAGGTGACCATCTGCTCTTACAAAAAGTGTGTTAGGGCTGGACAGATGGCTCATCCTTTAAAGTGCTTGCCACACAAGCAAGCATCAAGCACGAGAACCAGAGTTCAGATCTCCCCACACCCAAGTAAATGTCAGGTGGGTGTAGTGTGCCATCTGACATTCCTGAACTCCTAAGGCAGAGGATCCCAGGGGTGAGCTGGCTAGCTAGACCAGCTACAACTGCAAGCTATGGGTTCCACTGAGATACCCCACTGAGATACCTTGCCTTAGAGAGGAAGATGGACTTCAAGGAAGGAAGACTCCTGATGTCAGCTTCCGGCTTCCCTGTACGTTCTACACGTACATAAACAGACAGATGTGCACGCACCCATATAAGTGTACCCACACACATATGTACATGCACCACCCACACGCATACACTTGCACCACACACACACATGCACCACATATACACATGAAAAATATGTTGATTTTCAGAAACAATAAAGCCTTATATTTTCCAGGGTGCCAGTTTTTATCATTGTCCCTGGTTGGATACTGGAAGTACAGGCTTTGAAAGCTTTGATGCAGCTGTATTTTATATATCACCCTGTTTCCTTTATGTGATATCATGTAAGGTTTGCTTTTCTCTTTCCCCCTTCATCTATGATTAGTTTCCTGCCCTATTTTTTCCCTAGCTTAGCATTTTGTTTTCATTTTGAAAAAAATGGAGTCATTTCCAAAATTCACTTGAAATATAAGGTTTCCGGCTTTCACTGGTAAAGTCTATGGAAATTGTGGTTAAGGCAAAGAAAGGAGTAAATGCTTAGGGGAAGTGCAGAGAGGGGGAAAAATCATTTTAATGTCTTCCTGGCCAGCTTGCATCCTGAGTTTAGAAACTGCTTTTTTTTTTTTTTTTTTTTTTTTTTTTGTATAAATCAAAAACAGAGAAATAACATTTAAAGTTCTAGAAATCTCATTCATTTATCAATTCCCATGTTCTAGTGGTCACCTACAGTATAGAGAGGGCCCCAAGGGTATAGGCAGTAGATATGGTCCCAGAAGACTGTCCTTGAGATTCTCTTTGGTAGTAGGTACGAGCAGGAGGCCTTTTCTAATAATGATGAAATGTGCAGAGTAGTAACTATTAAGACAAAGGCCTCTGGGTTTCCAAACTCGTGTTTATTTTCCCTAATTAGCCCAGAAATGCCCAATCATGGCTGACTCCAAACAAGTCTGTTTAGGAATAAACACTGCTGAAGGAGTTCCGTGACAAAGACAGTGTGTGGATGCTGTTTGTGGCGCAGGAGCTATCAACACAACGTATGAATTGGCAAAACCCTGCCAGCTCTGAGACATCAGTGTGGCTGAAACGGAGGCAACTTAGACTGACAATTATGCTGCCTGGCACCAAGTCCCTTCCCACACACAATGGTAGGCCTGATTAGCTGCACGTGCACGCAGACCTTTATGGCTGCCTCGCAAACAGAAGTAGGCGTGATGGAGCGCGGACAGAAGTGTGAGAGTACCTGCACACCAGGATTTTAGTCAGGGGTACAAACCCAAATTTCCAACTAGGGATCCAAAGGAAAGACACACAGCTCCCTCTCAGGCTGAGTGCAGCATCCCTGGGGCACACGTTTGCCCAGTGAGAAGCAGAGGTAAGGGACACCTGCCCTGCTGGCCTCTGAGGTGTGCAGTCCTGCTGAGAGCCTATGTATGACCTGGTTTTCTCCATCCCTACCTGGGGAGGGGGGGGATTCCCCTGTCCCCTGTTCTCTCCCTCCAGGGGTGAGGGACCAACAGCTCTTTAGACAGCAGGTCCTTCTTTATCACAAAGGCAGGAGAGTTTAAACTTTTATGGAATCAATTTATTAATCAGAAATCAGACTGGGTCTGTGTATAGAAAATCACTGGTCATCCTTACAGAGGATTTAGTCAGCCACTAGCTTACTTGGATCCTGGGCTGTTCATTGGGATGTCCAAGGAGTTTTAAAGGTAAAGTCAAATTTGGAAGCATGGATAGAAAATGCATCCTCAGCTAGGGGCTCATTCCTACACTTTTGGGGAACTCAATCATCTTTAAAGCAAGCCCAAGCAGGTGGCTGTCAAGTTAATGACACCACACAAAAATAAAGCAGAACCCTGGCTAAGGCAGGCAAAGATAATACCTCATACTGGGTAGTTAGGAGCTTGCCTGAGGCTAAGGGCTAAGCAATGTTAAGTGTTATTGTTAAGCAATGTTAAATCTTCTGCCTCCAAAGGAAAATGACTTTATTTCTTTCCTCCTGCGGCTGCTGTTTCTAGAAAGCCGGGTCTGCTTGTAATACAACCTCATTAGCAAACCCCAGGCCTTGACTGGGGCCTGTCTTACCAGCCTATGCAGTGCCCAACTTTCTTTGGTAGTAAACAATGATATCAGCATCCCCTTTGTCTTGCCTGACACAAATTATTACCTACTCACTGCAAGTGAGTGGCTGTTTTCTGGGCTGTTCTAACGAGTGAACACCGAAGTACACATTTTCACTAAGGGTTTTTTTTCTACTCCAGCCTCCCAGCCCCTTCCAATTCTCCCAGGCTCATTCTCTTCTCACAGGCCCTTCAGCTGTGGGCTCTCTGTTCACCCATCTCTCTCGAGCCTCCATCATTTACCTGACCCAATCCTGGCCCCCTGGGATCCCATTATCCTGTTCTCTACAGATGGCTCAGTGCATCAACACATGATGTTGCTCTTCCAGGTTTGAGATAAAGTGTGAGGTCCTAAGGAATGAACAAGACAGCAAGACACACTGCATTTCGTCTGTAGTCCCCTGTGCATGGAAGGTGGCTGGAGAAACTCAATAAAACCCCCTTTATCAGTTCCATTCCAAAATTCACATTAGGCAGCACCAGCTGGGCCCCTGCTTCTGGCCAGCATTCCTTTTAATCATGTGATCAACTCCCTGGACTCTCCCACAGTGGATGTTCAGACACACTTCTACCAAGAAGATGACTAAACATTCCCAAGCAAAGTCTCCAGAGGTGACCTCACTTCCTTTCCGTTATGACCCCAAGGCATCTGACATTAGCTCTCCCCATCTGATCCCTGCAGCACAGCCTGCTGTCTTCTCCAATACACACTTCCCAAAGGAACCTAGGAGGGTCTGTCTAAGTTTGGAGCCAGGCCATGTGTGTAACCCCAGCTTAGTCACTTACCACCTGTGTGGCCTTGGCCGGTGATCCAACTGCTCCAGGCTCTGCTTCCTCAATTGCAAATTGGGGGTGACATCAGGGTCTCCATCTACCGGTGGCAGCATAAGGATCAAATGCATGACAGAAATGCAATCAGGGAATATTTAAGGGATTTTTTTTTTTTTAGCTCATTTTTATTTGATCCCCGGGGATGAGATTTTCCTTTCTGTAATGAAGCAAGCCCATTCTCACTGGTGTCTCTGGGACCTGAGAATACTGCCTTTCTTTCTCTGGGCTTCATCTCTTTAAGCAGAACTCCTTTCTGGCTTTCTTCCCTTTGCTTATGACTGTAAATGCAAAGGCTCTCCTGCACAGCTTGCTGGATGTCCCTTCCACCCTGTGGAAAATGCAAGGTTAACACTGGCCTGGAGATATGCTGAGAGTCCCAATGCAGAAAGCACTGGCTGACCCTGGGGAAATCCCAGGTGTCCTGGCAATGGAGAGCAAGATATTTCAGCCAATTAGTATGGATTGAGTGGCGAGCTATGCTAACAGGCAATCTAGGAGACAGTGGTTCCTATAGCGAGGGGATCCATATAGCAGATCCACAGTGTTGACTTGGGTCTAAGCAAGAAGACAGGGCCTCTGTCCATCAAGACATAAGGATAGGCCTAGGATAATACCCAGGATAGAAGGCTAAACATGCTACTCTAGCTGCTGGGGCAGACGGTGTGAAAGCAGCACCCCTTTCTCTCCTGGGAGGATCCCCAAACATGTTACCTAGATCTGTGCACTGTTGGCTCAGGACAAGGGTGACAAACATGCTATTCTAGGGCATTTAGCTAGGGAAGATGGCACTATCTCTACAAACTAGTCTTTTGCCCTCTACCTTTGGTCCTGCCT